CCACTGCTCCAGTGCCTGACGTCAGGGACAAACTCCCTTTGCTCTTCACCACTGCTCCAGTGCCTGACGTCAGGGACAAACTCCCTTTGATCTTTACCACTGCTCCATGCCTCAGGCACCTTCTGGTGGCCAGCGAGCCTCTCTGGTCCCTGCTCGGAGTCTGAACCCTGCCCAGGGTCCTCCACATCTTCCAGAGCCGACTCATAGGGTCCCTCGCTATCGGAGTCCATCGGCAGCTCCAACGGCTCCTGCTGGGCCACAACACATATGTAGGGCTTATATTTTTTATGGGGGGAGGCTCTTTTAATATTGTGTACTACAGAGGCAGAGAAGTTACCATGACAAGACAAAAAAGGGAAATGTTACCTTCCCTTCTCCAACTGCAATTCCTATAAATTCTATTCACTGCTGAACACTGCAATGGAGGGAGGGGAGTTTCCATTATTTCAACATTATTTTTTTTTACTGCTAAGAAAAGGGACAACAGGAAAACTCACAGCCCAGAAGAGAAGAGTAAAAATAATCTTCCGCACTGAGATTATAACAATTCCCCCATTGTCACTATTTTCTCCCTACTCTTCTGTTTTGTTTTTGATGGGGAATTGGGATGATTCAGTGGAAACCTTTTCTCAGTCTAAGCTACAACTATTTGTGTTGGATTTCATTCTTATTGGTATCATTAATTTTCAGACCAAAGCATTCAGGATGTGAAAGACCCAAAGCAAGAAGATGATTCAAGGACACAGAATAATTTACAGGACCAAGTAGAAAATGCCAAGCCTTCGGAAGGGACTACCACAAATGAGAAATCTGAGATGGCTACTGACTCATTGAATTTACAGAAGCCGCCTGATGCCATTGGGAATGGCATTTCTTCTCCAGCCCAGCCAGATCCGGAAAAGGCCTCATTACATTCCTTTGTTTTGGAGGAAAATAGACAAGCTCCAAATGGAACAAATCCGCAAGAGGAAAATGACTCCTGTTCCTTTCACGATGCCATTGACCATGATTTAGTGTTGTCTCACTCCATTACTTTTGTAGAGTTTACAAGTGATAACTCAGCACATTCTACCAGCCTGAATATTAAAGCTGATGAGGTTGACTCAGGGGCCCCAGCTAGTAGAACTGAATCTGATGGCTCCTGGAACCATTTAAATTCAAATGACCAGGTAAACAATATTCGTAGAAATGATGACCCAGGAGAAAAAATACCTGAAAACACGAAACAGCTCACAACCTCTCAAGAAATGGCCCTTGAAACTTTGGCCCTGCCAGAAGCATCTAAAGTCAGTGAAGACCCTTCCTCAGAGTCCTTGTTGGACACGTCCCAGGACAAATCCTTTTCAGAAGAGCCGGTAACTGATTCTTCATATTCAGCAACGGTACCTTCAGAACAAGCCCAAGCTGGAAAAGATGGCCAAAGAAGTTCATCAAAGCGCAAGAAGAAAAAGAGGCACAGCAAGGGCCATTCAAGTAAGTTCCTTTTCATTGCGGTCTTTGAACATTAGGGCCAAATCAAGATGAACCTCCTTAACCTGTATCCTCCCAGATATTTTCACTTACAACCTGAGCTAGCATGCCCAATAGGTAGGACTGATGGCAGACATAATCCAAACCTGGAAGGATCCAGATTTGGAAATTTCACAAATAGACTGTTTAATTTATTAAATGACGAGCTGAAGTTTTGGGGTGGAGTGCATTATGTTAATGCAAATATTTACAAAAGTGTAGATGACCTGGATCATTTTTATAAAAATGTTCCCTACTACTTTGATCCCAAGTGGAATGCCTTCTCTGTTATAGCGCCTGGTGCACATACATACATTTGATAAATAATGAATATGCTTTTTGTTACAAAGCTATTGTTTTATTCACATGCACATGTGGTTGATCCAAACACTTAATTGACTAAAATGCCATTAATCTAGAGCAGCGACCCCCAACCTTTTGGGCACCAGGGACCAGTTCCATGGAGAGAGATTTCTCCGTGGATCGGAGGGGTTGTGGTTTCATGTGCTGCCTATATCCCGTGGATGGGGCTTCGCTTGTTTGCGCGGCCCAGTTTCTGGCATGCCGCGAACAGATGCCAGTCCTTGGGCCAGGGTTGGGGACCCCTGATCTAGAGAGACCCTTGTGTCCTTGCCCACTGATTGTTATCCCATGACTGTGATATTACAATGGTATTTGCTAATATCTTATGGCTACATTTAGTTGTCTTCTCTTTTATTTGAAAGCAGTGGTTGACACTGATTTAAAAGCGATGGTTGATACTGGAGATAAAAAAACAAAAAGAGTTTGTGAGATACAGTGAGGTATGTAAACCGTCAGGGCTGCTGCTGTATGTGACTAACCATTGCGTTGGGATCTTACCCACCTAATGAAGTTGTTGATCATCACTACGTAAAGCTATGCTTCTTGTAGCTAATTATATGCAGTGTGTTATTTCTTTTTTAATACAATGCTTTTTATTTTGGGTGATTTGCTATCTGAGCTCAATTTCTGTACTTCTGGAATCATCAGCAAGACTCCAGGCTTTGGGTCTTTTGTGTCAGCCAAACATCATTTTCTTGGAGGAAAGCATTGTCTCTTGTTAAGTTGTTTAATGTTGTTAGACATGTTGGGTAATAGCAAATGTTCTTCCTTTTGTCTGATCCTCATTTTCCATTCTCCGAAATTCTACAAAAAGGCAATTTCAGGTATGGTCATCTTCATTCCAGAATCAGAATAAGGCTGGTCAAGGGCTTTGAAAAAAAGATTCTAGTCCTAACACAATCCTTTAGTCCCATTGTCTTTGTTGAACACTGTTGAAGATGGTGTTGATGTTGTAGAATATTTATTGATGATTCTGCACTACTGTAAAATCCAGTGGTCCTTCGGAAATTGCCATAGGATTTTGCAGATCTCCTTCCCCATGGATGGAAGGAAGGGTCAGCCTTGCAAGTTACGTCCTAGCAACTGGATCTGGATCATGTTCTTAGTACCCTAAAAATTCTTAATTATTCCTCAGAATCAGTTTCCATTTGCTTTCAGACAAGAAGTTGGCCATTCCTGCAACTGCATTACTTTCTTCTTTGTCTTCTGATTGCAAGCAGCCATAACATAAACCAATCAAATGACATGTGACTTTCAAATGCTTTATACTATGTAATCAACATGCTTGCTTCACCAATTCATCTATTTTTGTTCTTACAGTGTATTATCAGAAATGAAAATTATGTGGAACATTTTTCAGTGAGGATTCCAACAACTATCCATTATTTTCAACCAGGGCCCCTCTTTCCTCCACTCAACAACAATCTATTCAGATGTTTTCCTTTTCAATACTTCTCTCTCCACAAAAATACCTTCTCATAAAAGTATTTACAACTATACAGTATTCAGTGTTTCTGGGGACGTCTTCACCTCTTTAACTTTATAAAGTAGGGGTGTCAAACTCAAGACCGACTGGAAACAGTGAAGGATGGCCCGCAACCTGCAGTGCCTCTCCCAGCATGAAGCCCTCCCGAGCTCCATTTTTGCTGACAAAGTTGCAGAAAGCCGTCGCAGCCAAAAATGGAGCTTGAGAGCCCATTTTCATTGGCAGAGAGTTCGGGCCACTACAGGCACCCCCGACACGAGTGATGTCGAGCTGGCCATGCCTACTCCAGCCCCCCAAGGTCAAACATAAACCCGATGTGGCCCTCAATGAAATCGAGTTTGACACCTCTGTTATAGAGGATCTCCAACTGGAAGCGCCAAACACACATGGAGATCCTGGATGATCTAGCAACTGAATTTTCTATGATCAGTTTTCTGCATGCACACAGTTAGCAAACTCAAAGGGTTGATTATAGAGTATGCAATTTCTAGTGTGTCCATTCCCTTCTTCTATGTCATGACTCTGGTGTCTGAGCATCAATAGGTGAACCACAGTCAGGCCTTTACTTGACCAACTAACCTCAATCAACTCCTTTAATTGATCAAATTTTATCTAGGTCAGTGGTTCTCAACCTGTGGGTCACGACCCCTTTGGGGGTCGAACAATCCTTTCACAGGGGTCGCTTAAGACCATCGGAAAACACATATTTGCAAAATAATACAGAAAACATAAAATAATTTTATGGTTGGGGGTCACCACAACATGAGGAACTGTATTAAAGAGTCACGGCATTAGGAAGGTTGAGACCTACTGATCTAGGTGAACAAGGATCAAGAAACCTAAAGAAAATTTGTCTGTAAGTGCTTATAGAATGCTAAATAGCAAGACTGATATGTTGCTGAATATGCAGGATTTGTTCCAAGGCCATAGGAGATGCACAGAATGGCTAGATGGAAAACCCTTAAACTCTTCATTCCTACCTCTGCCAATAGCACATTCATTTGGAATCAAAACTCAAAATTAAATCTCTTCTCTTTTCATTATTATTTTCAGTTTGGACATTTTGGGACCATTATAATTCTTAGCTGTGATGAGCCAGAGAATGGTCTAGAGCAGTGTTTCTCAACCTTGGCGACTTTAAGTCCTCTGGACTTCAATTCCCAGAATCCCCCAGTTATGCTGTGGCTGGGGGATTCTGGGAGTTGAAGCCCACAGGACTTAAAGTCGCCAAGGTTGAGAAACACTGGTCTAGAGACACAATGCAGACACAGTATTAAAGCTAATCAAATTTCAGTTTGAATGGAATCTATAGACAATTCAAAATGGCTGTTTGAATGATGTAATCTCAAAGCGGCACTAAAAATTGACTTTTCCTTTTCTCTGCAGGCGGTGCAGCAAGACAGAAAAAATAAAAAGCATGCTATTCAGCTATTGAAAGGAGCCATAGTAACAGGGTGCAGTTAATTTTTGTCTGGAGGTACTTGATAGAAGTAATTAATACTCAAATATATGATATATATCCAGACTTGAAAGCACCCTCAGCCTGTGCCTTATATAAAATTCTTATCCCAAAATAATTTTCTGCTACTTTGAGGCCATGGAGTCAACTCCCGATGGACAAAATTGTTCAACATAAGGTGAAGGAGATATGATCTAAGACACAGCTGGAACAAGTTGAAGTTAACACAGAAAATATTGGAAGTTTTATGGCACCAATCTCACGTTTAGACAATGTGTCAGTTTAGGAAGTACGATTCAACAAGGCCTGATTTTGCAAAGATCTGTATTTTTGAGTTAACAACATCCTTCAATTTGATTGTGCTATACTTTCCACCAGGTTGGCGCAAGCAATTTTTGTGATACTATCAGATACATATCACATTCCTGTTTTTACACAAAGACTTGTTACTCCAAGGATTAGACAAGAGAGATTTGTTTTAAAGAAAATTAGTAATTATTCTGATATCACCAGTGTAGTTGTCTGCCACCTAGTGGCAAAGGTATGCAATTACTGTCCATATGAACACATGATAGTCTTCATGTTTATCCCAAACTTTCTCACTACATGCACTACGACACTTCTTTTCAAGAAAACTTCCTCCCAAAGTAATATTATTAATGCAATCAATTTACACTTTTTTGTGATGGTGATAGTAAATGTGTTTGGGGCTAGGTATATCTTTTTGTTGTTGCCGATGTATAACATTAATGGAAATATTTTAGAGTTAATATTGGGAATGTGATTCCCTTTTATCATAAAAACTAAAGTAATTTTTATAGTTTATAAATATTATTGAGAGAATTGCAGATTTGTAAATATCTGTTCCCTTTTGTATGTTCACTTATATGAGACTGAAGGTATAGAAATTACTTTATAAACTGAATTTAGCAGTTATAATTTGGAAAGAAGATATTGACTGAGAGAGATCCTGCTGAAATAAAATGGATGCTGTGTTATAGTGGGATTTGCAAAGCTAACTTTGATTTCTTCTCCAAATCTGTTGGGAGTGTCTTCTGAAAGCTTTTGCCTAGGCAGGCTAGAATAATGGGGAATTATGAACTCCAGAAGTCCAGAAAATGCCAGGTTTAAAAAAAGCAAGCATGGGTATTTGAAACAAAGTTAACTTTACCCATGTTTTAGTTTATCACAGAATTTGAACCGAAGAACTAAGCCAGATGCCTTCATAGCAGGTTCTTCCAGCCTTGGCATCTTTAAACTATGTTGCTGGGGAATTCTGAGAGTTCATCCATACTTTTTAAAATTACTAAGATGGAGGAAAAAGTGTTCCAGACATATTGCACTACAACACCTTTAATATCAGGAAGCACAGTGTCCCAGTGGCTTAATGACGGATCAGGGAGTTCGAGCCCAAGCATTGAGCGGCAGGATGAGCTCCTGTCACGTGCCTCAGCTTTTGTCCACTTAAGAGTTCGAAAGCATATTCTATGCAGTAGATAGGTAGGTACCACTTTGGTGGGGAGATGAGTTTGTGCTCTGTGCAGGAGTCAGATTCCTGATGGTTTCTGAACCTTCCCACTTGTGGCACCCATTTGTGAGACAGCAATGGGAAGAGAGGCAGCAATGGGAAGAGAGGGGGGCCTTGGGTGACGCTGCAGGAAGAACTCATCTTTCTTTCTGGTGTGAAGCCAGCTCGTCCTCTTTTGGCACATCTTGGAAAGCATGCAAGCGTGTCCTATAATAGGGCTGGCACCTTGGCAAACTACTACTCTGCAATAGATTATGGTCTCCTGGCTACTGTAACAATGCCATACACTAATAAAAATAATAAACTGTAATAGTATAATATAGTGGCTCTCAACCTCTAGTGCACGGAGTTTTGGGGGGCTGTGATGTTATCACAGGGGTTCCACAAAGGCTTGAAGAACTGTTATGATTTAAATCTTGAGTCTTGGTAATCCGTGGCCATGGTCTGTGGCCACAAAAATTTTTTTTTGATTTTGATTTTGATTTTTTTTTTTTGATTTTATTAATATTTGTAGGCCGCCCTT